ATTGTTACTCAGGGACACATAATCGTTTAATTAAAGAGTATGTCAGACAACATGCAGAGGAGTGGCAGAGGAGGCAATGTTTTAGGAGCGAGCAGACGTGGCAGCAGAGGAAGAGGGGTCGAGGCAGCACTAGTCGCAGCCAGAGGCCAGTGCTCCCGGTGTCATCCAGCGGTCGTGTCTCCACCGACAACCCTGCCGTCATCGATTGGTTGGCTCGGTCGTCGTCTTCCTCTTCCCAGGTCACCTCTGACACCTACAGCCAACGGTCGGTGGGTACGTCAGACACAACCGTTAGTTGGCATGGCCCGGGACCAAGCCCACTGAAATCACGTGTCCTCTACCTGCCCCTGTCCTTTGGTGTTCCCTCACCAAGCGAAGTATCGCATGCTGTGGGCTCAGCCCCACTGTACAGTGAGGAAGAGCTAACAGAGGGCGGTCAGGAACGGGGGGAGACATCCGCCTTTTCAGCAGCCAGGCGAAGAAGTAGTGGCGAGGAGAGTGGCCCGGTAGCCGGTCTAGAGACAGGTCTGTCTCCTGACCCAGACGCAGCCGAGGGGGCTAGTAGTGAGGCGGAGACCCTACTTGATGATGAGGAGGTTGATCGCACTTGGCAGCCTCGTCGTCATCAGGCAATTTCTTCCCGCATCATCAGGAGAAGAGGGGTGGCAGCTTGGCAGTGAGCGAAACAGTCGGTGGGTTGCCCAGGAGACAGCAGCAGGGGTCGCAGCAGTGTCAGTGGAAGCAGTGTCAGTGGAGCCAAACGGCCACGGAGTAGAGCACCAGCTCCACTGCAGCCTACCACCACGGCCAGTAGTGGTGCCGGTGTGCACGGAGGAAGCAGCAGTCAGCCAGTGAGGAGTATCGGGGGCAAAGTTTCCTACTCGGCGGTGTGGCAATTTTTTTCGTCAAGCCGCCCCGAGGAAGTAAACGTAGCCGTATGTCGACTATGTGGCCAGAAAGTCAAGCGTGGCCAGGGGGCCCATGTTGGGACTACAGCGTTGCGGCAGCATATGCAGCGTCGCCATTCGGTGGCCTGGGAAAACCGTGATAAAGATACGGCGGTTTCTGCCCGCCCCAGCCCCCGCTCCATCACCCGCTCCGTTACTTGCTCCGTCACCCGACGTCAATCGCCCTCCATCAGCCAGTCAAGGCTCCAACACCTCTGCTGAGGGGAGTTGTCGCTCGTTGGCATCTTCCGCTCGTTCAGATGCTCCTTCTCCTGCTACTCCTCTTCACGGATTCCGTCAGCAGTCTTTCTTGGAATCCGTTTCCAAGAGACAACAGTTTGCGAGCACGCACCCGACGGTGCAAAAGCTGAACGTCCTCCTGTCCAAGTTGCTGGTGCTGCAGTCCCTCCCCTTTCCAAGTGGTGGACTCAGCACCTTTCAGAGAAATGATGGCTTGTGCCGCGCCGCGGTGGGAGAGTGCCAAGCCGTCATTTCTTCGCCAAAAAGGCAGTGCCAGCCCTGCATTCACATGTAGAAGACATGGTGGGCCAGTCTTTGAGCATGTCGGTCTCTGCCAAAGTGCACGGCAGCGCCGACGTGTGGAGCTGTAACTACGGTCAGGGACAGTACATGTCATTTACGGCCCACTGGGTGAACGTGGTGCCGTCACAGCCGCACCAGCAACTTGGACAGGTCACGCCACTTTTGCCTCCACGTTTGCACGTCCTTGGTCCGGCAAAGATGTCCGCCTCTACCACCTCTTCTTCCGCCGTGTCCTCAGCCGCCACCCCCGTGCCAAGTCCCATTACCCAACCGGCATATCACATGTGCAGGGCGCAACGGTGTCACGCTGTTCTGCACCTGGTATGCCTTGGCGAACGTAGTCACACAGGGGAGGAACTTCTGAGTGTAATAAACAGAGAAATCGACAGATGGCTGTCTCCGCGCAAACTGAAAATCAGGAACCATGTTGACCGAGACAACGGAAAGAACATGGTGTCTGCTCTGCGTCAAGGAAGGTTGTGCCATGTGCGCCATGCATGGCTCACGTGTTCAATCTGGTTGTCAAGCGGTTTCCTAAAATCCACCATCCCACTGCAAGACATCCTTAAAATGTCACGTAAACTTTGCATGCATTTCAGCCATTCCTACACCGCAAAGCACACCCTCCTTGAGCTGCAGCGGCAGAACGGAATTCCACATCATCGCCTGATCTGCGACGTTGCAACAAGGGTGGAATTCAACCCTACACATGTTAGACCGCCTTTACGAGCAGCGAAAGGCCATCACCGATTTCCTGATGTTACAAGCGGATAAAGGTACTCCCCTGTGTAACTTCGATGTCAGCCATTGGCAGCTCATGCGTGACACCTGCCGCTTGCTCAGGCCCTTTGAGGAGGCCACGCTATTCGTGAGTCGGCAGGACTATGGGATGAACGACGTCATTCCTCTGTTGCACGTCCTGAAACAAATGCTGTTAACAATGGCTGGTCAGGGTGCGGTAGACATGGCGCACAGATCTCAACGCCACATGACCCCTGTGGGGGCAGGACAGGAAGAAGAGGAGGAGGTAGAGGAGGACATTTGTGCTCAGGAATTATTGAGTGAAATGGGTGGTTTTTTCCACTCAGCGGACAGGAGTGGAGGAGCAGGAGCATCTGGTAGAGGAGGAGGAGGAGGAGAGACAGAGGACCCAGACGACGCAGTGTTGTGGCAGTATGCTGTGGAGATGGAGGCAGGGAGTCCCTCGCATTCCTTGGCACAAATGGCCCATAGCATGCTCGCTTGCTTGCGTAGACGACAGCCGAATAATAACCATCAGACAGAGGGATGACTTTTGGCTGTCCACCTTGTTGGACCCTCGCTACCTTCAAAAAATGGTGGCCTTTTTCACACCTGCTGAGAGGGAGGCCAAAATAACGTACTATAAAAACCACCTATGTAGTCAGTTGGTCTCTGCCTTTGTGCGCCAACGTCCATCCTCAGACACTGTGGGCCCCTGTGCGCTCGCGCGTTCCGCTGCCATGGCAGCAGGGGAGGGGTGGGGTGGTAGGAGCAGTGGCAGCTCCACCAGCAGCGGCTGCCCTCAGTCTGCAGTCGATGATGAGTAGCTTTCTTCACCAGCGCAGTGAGGAAACTACTAACCAGCCGCAGCAGCAGCAGCAGCAGCAGCAGCATCAGGTGGACCTGGAGCAGGACCTCAAACAACAGGCTTGGGGCCTACTTGGACAGCACCCTGCCCAACCGAGGTAGACAATCCCCTTGACTACTGGGCAACGAAACTTGACCTTTGGCCCCAACTAGCTGAATTTGCCCTTGAAAGGCTGTCATGCCCGCCAGTAGCGTGGCATCGGAGCGCGTGTTTAGTGCGGCAGGAGGTATTGTAACTCCGCGGAGGACACGACTGTCCACCCAAAGTGTGTGGAGAGACTCACGTTTGTGAAAATGAATCAGGCGTGGATTAGTCTGGATTTCAAACCACCAGTTCCTGACACAACTGACTAAAATCCGCCATGAATCATGCCTCAAACATGTGCCACTTTCAGGTCTCCTCACACACTGCTGGTGTGTTGAATTTTTTGACATACGGGTGCTGGCAGATTACGGGGGTAATTTGCCATCCAATAGCTGCCCAGGCCCCTATATCTGCCATGGGCCCCTATATACCGCCTCCTCATGCTGCTGCCAAGTCCAGAGTCTCTCATGGGTCCCTGTACGGGCCTCCCCCTATTGCTGCTGTCCTCCATCGCCACAGAACTCTCTGCCATGTGCCACTTTCAGGTCTCCTCACACACTGCTGGTGTGTAGAATTTTTTGACATAGGGTGCTGGCAGATTACGGGCCTCCTATAGCTGCTGCCAGGCCCCTAATCTGCCATAGGCCCCTATATACCGCCTCCTCATGCGGCTGCCAGGTCCAGAGTCTCTCATGGGTCCCTGTACGGCCTCCCATTGCTGCTGTCTCCATCGCCACACTCTGCCATGTGCCACTTTCAGGTCTCCTCACACTGCTGGTGTGTAGAATTTTTTTGACATAGGGTGCTGGCAGATTACGGGCCTCCTAATAGCTGCTGCCAGGGCCCCCGGGGTAATCTGCCATAGGCCCCTATATACCGCCTCCTCATGCTGCTGCCAAGTCCAGAGTCCCTCAGGTCCAGAGTCTCTCCATTGCTGGTCCCTGTACGGTCCTCCCCTGCTGGTGTTATTGCATGCTGCAGTCTCCATCTGCTGCCCAGGCCACACTCTCCACACTCTGCCATGTGCCACTTTCAGGTCTCCTTCACACTGCATGGTGTGTTAGAATTTTTTTGACATAGGGTGCTGGCAGATTACGGGCCTCCTATAGCTGCTGCCAGGCCCCTAATCTGCCATGGGCCCCTATATACCCGCCTCCTCATGCTGCTGCCCAGGTCCAGAGTCTCTCATGGGTCCCTGTACGGCCTCCCATTGCTGCTGTCTCCATCGCCACACTCTGCCATGTGCCACTTTCAGGTCTCCTCACACTGCTGGTGTGTGTAGAATTTTTTGACATAGGGTGCTGGCAGATTACGCGGCCCCCATGCTGCTGCCAGGCCCCTAATCTGCCATAGGGCCCCCTTATATACCGCCTCCTCATGCTGCATAGCCAGTCCAGAGTCTCTCATGGGTCCCTGTACGGCCTCCCATTGCTGCTGTCCACCATCGCCACACTCTGCCATGTGCCACTTTCAGGTCTCCTCACACTGCTGGTGTGTTCCATTTTTTGTGACATAGGGTGCTGGCAGATTACGGGCCTCCCATAGCTGCTGCCAGGCCCCCTAATCTGCCATGGGCCCCTATATACCGCCTCCTCATGCTGCTGCCAAGTCCAGAGTCTCTCATGGGTCCCTGTACGGCCTCCCATTGCTGCTGTCTCCATCGCCACACTGCTCTCTGCCATGTGCCACTTTCAGGTCTCCTCACACACTGCTGGTGTGTTTCCATTTTTTTGACATAGGGTGCTGGCAGATTACGGCCCTCCCATTGCTGCTGCCAGGCCCCTAATCTGCCATGGGCCCCTATATACCCAGCCTCCTCATGCTGCTGCCAGGTCCAGAGTCTCTCATGGGTCCCTGTACGGCCTCCCATTGCTGCTGTCTCCATCGCCACACTCTGCCATGTGCCACTTTCAGGTCTCCTCACACACTGCTGGTGTGTTTCAATTTTTTGACATAGGGTGCTGGCAGATTACGGGCCTCCCATAGCTGCTGCCAGGCCCCTAATCTGCCATGGGCCCCTATACCGCCTCCTCCTAATCTGCCTCATGCTGCCCCAGTCCCATGAGTCTCTCATGGGTGTCCCCTGTACGGCCTCCCATTGCTGCTGTCTCCAGGTCGCCATGCTGCTGTCTCATGCCATGTGCCACTTTCAGGTCTCCTCACACTGCTGGTGTGTTCCATTTTTTTGACATAGGGTGCTGGCAGATTACGGGCCTCCCATAGCTGCTGCCATGGCCCCTAATCTGCCATGGGCCCCTATACCAGATTACCTCCTCATGCTGCTGCCAAGGTCCAGAGTCTCTCATGGGTCCCTGTACGGCCTCCCATTGCTGCTGTCTCCATAGCCACACTCTGCCATGTGCCACTTTCAGGTCTCCACACACACTGCTGGTGTTGTTCCATTTTTTGACATAGGGTGCTGGCAGATTACGGGCCTCCCATTGCTGCTGCCAGGCACGTAATCTGCCATGGGCCCCCGTACCGACTCCTCATGCTGTGACGTTGCAACAAGGTGGAATTCAACCCTACATATGTTAGACCCGCCTTTACGAACAGCGAAAGGCCATCACAGATTTCCTGATGTTAAAAGCGGATAAAGGGTACTCCCTGTGTAACTTAGATGTCAGCCATTGGCAGCTCATGCGTGACACCTGCGCTTGCTCAGGCCCTTTGAGGAGGCCACGCTATTCGTGAGTCTGCAGGACTATGGGATGAACGACGTCATTCCTCTGTTGCACGTCCTGGAACAAATGCTGTTAACAATGGCTGGTCAGGGTGCGGTAGACGTGGCGCACAGATCTCAACGCCACATGACCCCTGTGGGGGCAGGACAGGAAGAAGAGGAGGAGGTAGAGGAGGACATTGGTGCTCAGGAATTATTGAGTGAAATGGGTGGTTTTTCCACTCAGCGGACAGGAGTGGAGGAGCAGGAGCATCTGGTAGAGGAGGAGGAGGAGGAGACAGAGGACCCAGACGCACCGTGGCAGTATGCTGTGGAGATGGAGGCAGGGAGTCCCTCGCATTCCTTGGCACAAATGGCCCATAGCATGCTCGGTTGCTTGCGTAGCGACAGCCGAATAATAACCATCAGACAGAGGGATGACTTTTGGCTGTCCACCTTGTTGGACCCTCGCTACCCGTTCAAAAATGGTGGCCTTTTTCACACCTGCTGAGAGGGAGGCCAAAATAACGTACTATAAAAAACCACCTATGTAGTCAGCTGGTCTCTGCCTGCCTTCTGCGCCAACGTCCATCCTCAGACACTGTGGGCCCTGTGCGCTCGCGTTCCGCTGCTGGCCACATGGCAGCAGGGAGGGGTGGGGTGGTAGGAGCAGTGGCAGCTCCACCAGCAGCGGCTGCCTCATTCTGCAGTCGATGATGAGTAGCTTTCTTCACCAGCGCAGTGAGGAAACTACTAACCAGCCGCAGCAGCAGCAGCAGCAGCAGCATCAGGTGGACCTGGAGCAGGACCTCAAACAACAGGCTTAGGCCTACTTGGACAGCACCCTGCCAACCGAGGTAGACAATCCCCTTGACTACTGGGCAACGAAACTTGACCTTTGGCCCCAACTAGCTGAATTTGCCCTTGAAAGGCTGTCATGCCCGGCCAGTAGCGTGGCATCGGGAGCGCGTGTTTTAGTGCGGCAGGAGGTATTGCAACTCCGCGGAGGACACGACTGTCCACCCAAAGTGTGAGAGACTCACGTTTTGTGAAAATGAATCAGGCGTGGATTAGTCTGGATTTCAAACCACCAGTTCCTGACACAACTGACTAAATCCGCCATGAATCATGCCCCAAACATGTGCCACTTTCAGGTCTCCTCACACTGCTGCTGGTGTGTTACATTTTTTGTCATAGGGTGCTGGCAGATTACGGGCCTCCCATAGCTGCTGCCAGGCCCCTAATCTGCCATGGGCCCCTATACCGCGCCTCCTCATGCTGCTGCCAATCCAGAGTCTCTCATGGGTCCCTGTACGGCCTCCCATTGCTGCTGTCTCCATCGCCACACTCTGCCATGTGCCACTTTCAGGTCTCCTCACACTGCTGGTGTATTCCATTTTTTGTCATAGGGTGCTGGCAGATTACGGGCCTCCCATAGCTGCTGCCAGGCCCCTAATCTGCCATGGGCCCCTATACCGCCTCCTCATGCTGCTGCCAGGTCCAGAGTCTCTCATGGGTCCCTGTACGGCCTCCCATTGCTGCTGTCTCCATCGCCACACTCTGCCATGTGCCACTTTCAGGTCTCCTCACACTGCTGGTGGGTTCCATTTTTTGTCATAGGGTGCTGGCAGATTACGGGCCTCCCATAGCTGCTGCCAGGCCCCTAATCTGCCATGGGCCCCCTTACCGACTCCTCATGCTGCTGCCAGGCCCGTAATCTGTCATGGGCCCCTGTTGTCGCTTGTTGGCATATTCCGCTCGTTCAGATGCTCCTTCTCCTGCTACTCCTCTTCACGGATTACGTCAGCAGTCTTTCTTGGAATCCGTTTCCAAGAGACAACAGTTTGCGAGCACGCACCAGACGGTGCAGAAGCTGAACGTCCTCCTGTCCAAGTTGCTGCTGCCAGGCTCGTAATCTGTCATGCGCCCCTGTACCGCCTCCTCATGCTGCTGCCAGGTCCAGAGTGTGTCATGGGCCCCCGTACCGACTCCTCATGCTGCTGCCAGGCCCGTAATCTGTCATGGGCCCCTGTACCGCCTCCCATGCTGCTGCCAGGTCCAGAGTGTGTCATGGGTCCCAGTACGGCCTCCCATTGCTGCTGTCTCTATCGCCACAACTCTGCCATGTGCCACTTTCAGGTCTCCTCACACTGCTGGTGGTTTCCATTTTTGTCATAGGGTGCTGTATGGCCTCCCATTGCTGCTGCCTCCACCCGCCACACTGTGGCTCCACACTCTGGTTTTGGCCCCGTGACTGCCCAAATGAGTGAAGTGTGCGGTGATTCTAAGATCGACGGCACTCATCTGCATGTCATACTGACTGACAGTATTATTTCTCTTCCCCAGCAGACTCCAAGGGCATTTAAATTAAAGGTACAGTGTTCAGCACACTAATATTAAGTCTCTCTGAAGCCTAGAAACACCCAGCTGCATTTTTAGGCAGTCCAAAACACATCTCTGCATGTAAATGTACCGTGTCGTAACACGCTGCTTACAAAAAAGATAAAGTATTTTTTTGTAACTTTCAATAAAGTTAAAACAAAAAACAGAAAGAGTAAGTAGCATGATGCATTGCAATCATGCATCAAACCACCCCTCTATCTCCCAAGTCTGCTGACCACCCGGGTCAGGGTGAAGTTAAGAGTTTGCCTTTGTTTTTTTAGGGGCAATATAGAATATATACTGCCTTGCAGCAGGGAAATACACATCCAGGAGTGGAGCAGGAAGGTGGCTGCCTATATGGAGCATCTTGGGAAGAGGTTTCACTGCTGCATAGTGTCCTGGAGAGCTGAGTATAAGCTGCAAGTGAACATTGCAGGAAGTTCTGACTTTGCATCCTGGAAGGTACATGTGCTACCCAGTTGTATCAAGTAGTAGTTAGTTACATTCAACTGGACTTGTGCCGTAATGCTGAAGATGTTTTATAGCTTTAGAAGCAACTTGCATATGCTACGAAATGTCTTCAACAGTACATACAAATTCCAGTTGAATGAGACTAACAACTACTAGATATACCATGACTTTGAGTAGGGAAAATTTGTTCTATAATTCTACATGAATTAATCCTATAAATGGTATTTATGGATAAGAGAATCTGCCTGGATTTCATGAATCCTGTTTAAACCCACACTTAGCAGCAAATCCCATGAACACGTCTGGGAGACAAATCTTGCTTGTAGGTTTGGTCATTATTAGGACTGATAGGCAAACTATTGTATAAAAAAAGCATGGGGAGCTGAGTACTGTTATGGGAGGCGAGTACCAATGCAGGAAGAAAGTTAAAACATACTGTACAGCATTAGGAAAGGATATTTTATTTTCATATGGTTCCGGGACAACAGTGAAAATACACAAATCCTTTAACCATTTCACCACTGCCTTATGTCTTGAAAGAGCACAGTTGTGAAAGGTTATTTACCCAGTGTCCTTTATAAACGTCACTGAATAAAGCACTGTTGGAGGGCCTTCACGCTCCCTAGGACACTTGACCAGAGTAGATCTGAATGTCTCTGTACCTAAGGATTGCTGTGATTGATCAGAGGGTGACCAACCACAGCAATCACATAATGTAAACAGTGTATGTTCATATCTGTGAGCCCTTCCCTTCCTCTTACATTGGACACAGAAACTAATGAACAAATGACAAATGTCATTTCCTGAGTTCCTGAACACAGTACAATCATGGAAGCAGCAGCTGTAAGTAAAATTTAAAGAAAAATTCCAGGCATTGTATACTGACTGACAGTCGACTTCTGTACAAGCAGCCTGTTCATACATGAATCAAAATTTGGCTGGTCCATGGTAAACCGGCTGAATTTCAATCCATGGATAGCTGACTTAAAGGTGACTAGAGGAAATAAAGAATGATGACTGGAGGGGATTTCTGAATATCCTCTATGAACCTGTTTTTGCTGAAGGAGCCACCTATCAATGGTAGTGTAGGCAGATATTATTTTTCATTTCACTGTTCAACAAGGAACAGGTTGAAAATCTTCATTTGTGATACTAAGAGCATAGAAAGAGCCTGAATATTGGAACTGAAGTTAACTGAAGTTAAACAAAAGGGAAGACCAAAAAAACGCAAAACCCATAGTGTAGCATATAAGATAAAATATATTTATTCAGAAGATAAAAATTCACTCACAAAAGTATCATGTGTTTAGCTAGTCAGTCTGAATGGCTTCAGGACCTGGAATGGAAACCAGAACCCCAGCCTTGACCACTGGCATGGGGAGGAGGAAGCATTCTGATATGATGTTAAACCATTGTCCCTGGTCTGTATGAGATGCTGAAGCTGATCCCTGAACCTAGAAGTTGAAGCAGTCCAACATCACAAGCTGACACATGCGCAATAGGGATGCGTTTAAAAGCTATCACACTTCTTCATCAGCCTGTCTCTCCTGGGCCAACCACAGTAATATATTGGAAGCTCATAAGGGGCTGATCAGAGGAAGCATGGATATAGCTAGTTAGAGCAGAGTTCCACTCAAAAGCGGAAGCTCCACTTATTTGTCTCCTTCCCCCTCCACTGTCATATTTGCACCTTTTGGGGGGTAGGGGGGAGCGAATACCTGTTTTTTACAGGTAACCGCTCCCACTTCCTGCTCAGCTCGCTGCGGATGTTTGGTCCCCCTCCTTCCTCCTGCAGTCTCCTGGGAACCTTCACAGGTCCTATAAGACTGCCGGACCAATGAGAATGCGCTGCGCAACTCACGAATACGCAGTGGGTACCCGGCTGTGAAGCCACAAGCTGTCACAGCCTGGTGCCCACAGTTGTGATGCCAGCGCCGGAAGGGAGGCAGAGAAGGGATGGCACGGGTGAGTATGTCGCTGTACCCTGGGACAGGTGAGTGTTTGTTTTTTTTTGTAGCTGCTGACTTTTAATGAACACAAAACTGACTGGAACTCTGCACAGCTAAAGTTACTGGAAGTCAAAGGAAGTTAACATTGGAAACATTTCATGCAGTGCTTACAATCAGGAAAATAATGATTGTTTATGACCACTTTAAGGCTCCAAATAAACCTAATGTACCAATGTTCAGTTAAACTCTTGAGAATAAGAGCTAACATGGAGATTCTAACACTTATTGCCCCAAGAACAAAGATGACCATACAAGTAGATTTCCAGAATCATAAAAACACAAGTCATGGGGTTGCTTCAAGGAAAGTTTAAACAATGTTCCTCTGATATGTCTCTTATGCTGCCATAAATACTCAAGAAAATTCTATATAACCTATTAGCTGGTAGAGTAAGTAATTTTGTGCCAGGTGATGGCTGAAGGCAAACTAAAGTCTCTAAATCCAAAAAAGTGATACATGCCATCAAAGAAAACACTGGGTCTGATTTATACATATTGGTGTAGAATAGAAGGCCTGTTGTTCACAGAGATCACATTCTATATATTATATCTTCAGGGTAGGTTAGATGAATATAGAAAATGTAATCCATTCCATGTTTTTTTCCAGTTGTTATACATCTGCCCCACATTTCCTCATCTTGAGGTGGTTGTAGAACTAGGCACAGTAGGCATCAATCAGCCTTTTAGCAACAAGAGAAATAAATGAATGTCACATACTGTTCATAATGTATAGCGTTAATGGATGTCTGTGGATTGCAATCTTGTTTTTTATCAGTAAAACAAATGGAGTAATTAAAGATAGCCAAACTTAGATTCACTTCGTGAATTTAGGTTATGAAGGTAGAAATGACACAGAATTTGCATTAAGGCTTAATGCGAAGCTGCAGAGTATTTGTTATGAATGGAGAAAGCTGTTTTCTAAGGTTTCTCCAGGTCTTGTAATCCAGGATTGAGGTCTGAGGTCCAGAGTGTGTTGGGTGAGACGGAACCTTTAATTCTGTGTCTGGACTTTGCTGGATGCCTGCAGCTGTGTGAGTGCACAGGTGTGCAGGATCATTATAAACCAAGTCTGAAAGTAGCTCAGGGCAATTGCTACCATTCAGAGACACAGCTGGCATGCGGAGATGGTGGTGTGCACCAACCAGGAGAGTGACCTTCTTGAGAGACCCTATGCTGGGGGGACATCTTGGAAAGTCAGGATGGCTATGTAGGCCTGGAGAGACTGAGAAAATTGAGGTGACTAGCGAGTCCACAGAGGGGGCTGGAGGGAGTCCTGCATTCCTGAGATGTGTGAGAGCACCCGGGGTGCTAGGAGAACCCTATCAAGAGGCCAAGAGTGGACCTGTACAGCTAGGTGCTGTGACAATAGGCTGAGTGAGCCTGAAGAATTCCATGGTCTGGGAGACCAAAGAACAGTGGTGCTGCTGACAAAGGAATTTTTTCAGTTGTTTGCTTTGTGAAGATGTAACCACTGCGTGGGCAACTTTGGATGAAACTTTAATTTTGTTTAATAAAAGTGGGCTGCCATGCCTTTAAACTGAAGTTTGGACTATCATGTCTCACTAAAACTTACCACTTTGAGCTAACCAACCACCATATCACAATTGACACACAATTAAATTCCAGCTGTTAAAAGTTGTTGAATGTCTTATGTATAAAATAATGTCCACTCCAATACAGAATTTGGTTTTTCAGATTCCAGGTATGGTGTCTTTTTGAGCCATATGCGAAAACATCCTTAAAACAGTTGGAGTGTATTTAAGCTCAAACAATGAACATCTCTTATTTGCTCCCTTTTTGTCTGATAAATATACATTTTAAAGTGTTTTGATACATTAGAATAATAAGAGAAAAAAAATACTGTAATCTGTTGATCCTGCCAGATGTTCATTGAGCTGATAACTGCCTGTTCTCTCTGCCTCAATAAACTACAGGACAGCTTCCCGTATGTTATGATGGTAAGGAGAAGCTATTGTGTTCTTAAAGTGGTATTAACCACCTCCCTCCCGCCCGCCATATAGTACTATCACGAACGCAAGGTGGTTCTCTAATTCTGGGAGGACGTCATCATATGACGTCCTCCCATTCTAACCGTGCATGCGTGGCTCCCGTGACAGCTCGAGAGGAGAGGAGAGCCGGTAATCGGAGGGGACATGTACACAGATCATCAAAGCACTGATGATCAGTGTAACTCCAGCAGTGCCACCTGTCAGTGTCCATCAGTGCCATCTGTCAGTGCTCATCAGTGCCACAAGCCAGTGCCCATCAGTGCCACATCAATGCCACATATTAGTGCCTACCAGTGCACATCAATGCCACATATCAGTGCCCATCTGAGCTGCCTTTCAGTGTCACCCATCAGTGCCGCCTATCAGTACCAGTCAGTGTCGCCTATCAGTGCCAGTCAGTGCCGCCTGTCAGTGCCACCTATCAGTGCCAGTCAGTGCCGCCTAACAGTGCTAGTCAGAGCCGCCTATCAGTGCCAATCAGTGCCACCTATCAGTGCCGCCTATCAATGCCATATAGCAGTGTTGCCTTTCAGTGCCTATCAGTGATGCCTGTCAATGCCCATCAGTGCTACCTACCAGTGCCTCCTCATCAGTGTCCATCAGTGCCACCTATCAGTGTCCATCAGTGCAGCCTATCAGTGCCCATCACTGCAGCCTCATTAGCGCACATCAGTGAAGGAGAAAAATCACTTATTTACAAAATTTTATAACAAAAACTAAGATAAAACTTTTTTTTTCAAAATTTTCAGTGGGTTTTAGTTTGTTTAAGAAAAAATAAAAAACCCAGAGGTGATTAAATACCCCCAAAATAAAGCTCTATCTGTCACAAAAAAAATGATAAAAATTTCATATGGGTACAGTGTTGCATGACCGCACAATTGTCATTCAAAGTGCAACAGCGCTGAAAGCTGGAAATTGGCCTGGGCAGGAAGGGGGTATACTGTAAGTGTCCTGTAGGCTTGTGGTTAAACACTCAAAACTAAAAAAATGTATATATTGCAGCTTACCAATCATTAGATGTGGCGAATGCTTACCTTTTTTGTTTTTAGGTTTTTACCTTTGTTTTCACCTGGTGATCTGGCCAGTAGCACATCTCCTGTATTAAAGTACCACCACTCTGTATGAATGAGTACAGGGGGCACCTTTGGACATTGTCGGTCTGGGGGTAGAGGAGTGTTAGATGGACTAGCAGATTTAGATACACAAAGAAACTGAACCCAAATGCCATAGATGTCCGGTATCCGTGTAGTAGAGGTAAGGTAAAGCGCACTCACCGGACGCGCATATCAATGCGCTTTTGTTTATATATAAAATCCTGATGTCATCCAATAGTTTAGTGTGAGGCTGGTGTAGATGGTCCTCTTTCACTAGGGGGTCCTACTCCGTGCTCCTGGTAAGCAGTATCCTCCAAGTATCCTCCGGGTGGGCTGGTTTTCACCATGTGGTAGTGATCCGTCCAAGGAATGCGTCTGTGGACTGGTTTTCCTTAAACTTAGAAATGATCTTTTGTTTTATCCTGTTTTCTTCAGGAGTGTTCACATTTGCAGTTTCTAGATAGCTTCCGCTTGTTACATGATGCAGAAGATGTTGGCTCTCAGCTACTCCTTGATTTAAAATAGTTTTCAAGACAGCTTCAAAAATGCTGCAAGACTGTCTCAGTTATTCTAGAATCTCAGAAACACGTCTGCTTTTTTTCTGCTCTTATTGATTCATCACACTGTTTGTGGTCGTTCCTGAAGTGTTATATACACCTATTTGATTCTCACTGATTCACATTTGTTTCACGTTTTTCACTATTTTTCACAAATATTCACTATACTAATTATATGAAGTTTTTAAAAAAAATATTTAATTTATTTATAAAAGGTAATGCACTATGTGAATTTTCTTTTTTTGAGGTGGATATTTTTTGGATATCGTTGGAAGAATTGTTTGGATTTTTATCTGGTGGACTGTAAAGAAATTTTAGTGGACTTTATTTTGTAGTGGAAAATATATTTTTATTTTTTTATTTGGGGATTAAGGCGAATAGTGGATGGATGGTGTAGAGATTATATTGCACAGTTATTATGTTATAGGATGAATTTGTAAAAACACTGTCACTTGTATGATAATGACAAAAAAAAAATAAAAAAAAAAAAAAAAAAAAAAAAATAAAATAAAAAAAAAAAAAAAAAAAAAAAAAAAAAAAAAACAAATAACCCTTGCTGTTGGCCAGTCATCTGTTGTTAAGGAGCCAGCATTTACGGGCTTCCTAACAGCTACGAGTCATCTCTGCTGTCAGCAAGGATTCCCCGCTGAGAGCAAAATGTAAACAAAGAGCCAGCATTGAAAAAAAAACAAAATTTTTAAGGGAGACCGAAGCAAAAAAAGAGACCTCACGCATTTTCTTTTTGTTTCATTTTTTGTCATGAGGTCCCCATCAAAATCCATTGCAGACTTGAAGGGCCTGGTATGTGGATTGTGGGAGGGACAACCGCACTGTTTTTTTTTTTTTCAATGTCAGCTCTTTTGTTTACATTCTACTGTCTGTGGGGAATCCTGACACTGGCGGGTGCTGACTCATGAACATATGACTCATCCCTGCTGGATGACAACAGGGAGGAGTCATCAGTTGAGAAGCCACTCCTTAACTGCTTAAGGATCGCCCTATAGCAGATATACTGCTACAGGGCGGCACCTGTGTGCAAAATCACTTATATATGCATGATTTTGCATTTCCAGGTAGGGGGCATGCGCGAGCCACGCGCCCTACCCGCACCACCATTCACAGCCGCGGATGTCAATCACCGGGCCCCCGGTCGGTAATTATCCGCCGTTGCCGGGTGATTACCGAGCATCTCCGACAGGGACGAAGGTTGTTTTGTTTACAAACAATCTTCCTGTCAGCTTGAGCATACTGTTGGGGATGGCTGTGCTCAGTACAGCCATTCTGATCAGTGTGCTTACAGTGAAGCACACACCCCCTGCCCCCTAGTAAAACACACACAGCACACAATTAACCCTTTGATCGCCCCTCATATTATCCCTTCCTGCCCAGTGCCATTACTACAGTGTCAGTGCTTTTTTTTAGCACTTATCACTGTATTGGTGTCACTGGAGATGTCAGTGACACCAAGTTAGTTCCCCCCCAGTGTCAGAATGTCCGCCGCAGTCCCACTAAAAGTTGCTGATCGCCGCCATTACTAGTAGAAAAAAAAATTCCCATTATCTATACCATTATTTGTAAACGCTATAACTTTCATTTAAACCAATTAATTTACACATATTGGGATTTTTTTTAAGCAAAGTCATGTCACAGAATACATTTTGGCCTAAATTTATGATGAAATTTGATTTTAAATTTTTTTTACTGCACATGTTTAATAGCAAAAAGTTCAAAATATAGTTTTTTTTTTTTTTCTGTCTTTTTTTGCTTATAGCGCAGAAAATAAAAAAGCACAAAAAGGAATAGTAAAAGGAAAAATAGGAATAGTAAAGGAAAAATAAAAAAAAAACATAAATTCAATTTGAGTGCAGCATTGCGTGACCACGCAATTGTCAGTTAAAGTAACGCAGTGTCATAACGCAAAAAATGGCCTGGTCATGGAGGGGGGTAAATCCTCAGGAAGGCAAGTGGTTAAAAAACACCAAATGTTTTAAAAACATTGTACAATAACATGCAAAAAAGAAAGCCGATGATTCCCACAGGATGGAACGGATCCATCCTGCTGTGATCGCCGGCTTGCTTTAATACTTACCTTTTTGTGGAGCGGGTCCAGTGTCACCCAGTATGGACCGCACCCCCCGCACCTTCCTCGGGATGCCACTGCTGTATATACAGAATAAGAACAGATATGGAAAATAGGACTTCATGCACACTGAGAGTTTGCCCAGCATCCTCTAAATGGCCTTTCTCCTGGCAGAACAAAAGCAGCTTCAAAAATATGCCTAAAGCCGTGTTTTGCTGGATTTTAATTTATTCTGGCTACTGAAATGAATAAACGCTCAAGCGCTACACATACCTAGCGTTTAGGCGTCAGCCATTTTTTCTGCTCAAATGCTCCTCTCTTGAATATGCTGCTGATGTGATTTCTTTTTCATCTTCTAAACACTCCTCTTCAGAATATGCCTGTACAATGCATCCAGAAAGTATTCACAGCGCTTAACCGCTTCCACACTGGGAACTTTTACCCCCTTCCTGCCCAGGCCATTTTTCAGGTTTCCGCGCTCTCACACTTTAAATGACGATTGCGCGGTCATACAGCACTGTACCCAAAATAAAATTTTAGCATTTTCTTCACACAACTGGAGCTTTCTGAAAATTGATCAATCCTGAAGTACTGACAGCCGATATCATTTCTTGAGGTCCAAGAATGTGAGAACAGTACAGATAACCCCCAAATGACCCCTTTTTACAAAGTAGACAGTCCGACGTATTTCATAAGAGGCATGGCAAGCTTTTCGAAGTTGTAATTTTTTTGTCATTTTTCGCAAAATGAAAAAAATAAAAAAAAATTATTTTCACTATTTTCTTTTACATACTGTCACCAGTGCAGTACATCATCATCATATAACTGGCATGGCGGTGATCAGGAACACTGACTGGTGACAGTATGAAAAAAAAATTATAATTATTTTTTTTTTTTATTTATTTCTTTTTTTATTAGTTTTAATTTTTTATTACATTTTTTTCTATTTTTAAGATTTGTTTTTCATATTTCACTATGACCAAAGTAGTATAATGTTACCATAGTAACAGTGTACTACTTTGGGGAAGTGATCAGTATTTTTTTTTTTTACACAATTTGCTTATAGCAAAGAATTATTTTGCTATAAGCAAGCATTTACCTGAATGACATCGATTCATTCAGGGGTTTTTTTTGTGTTTAGCTGTGATTTGGCCACGGCTAATCACATGACACAGCTGGGCTATGATTGGCCCAGCTTGTGCATGTGATCCCTGTGACCATTCACAGCTAGACACACTTGTATACAATGGATGGCATGAAAGGAAGCCATCCATTGTATACAACTGTCATGTGATCTGCTGTGATTGTTCACAGCAGGACACATGGTACTGGAAATAGGGCCAGTACACAGATTTGTCATCGGCCGGTATATGGCCGGTGACAGATTGGGCCGCAGAGCAGCCCTGCAGGCAGGCGCATTGCGCATGCCTGAAAGGATGCCATCTGGCGTCCACCTGGAGGGACGAGGTGTTTTGCCAACCGCCTTTGTGCTATTGGCCTTATTCCAAAATGGATTCAATTAATTTTTTTCCTCAACACTCTACAAACAATACCCCATAATGACAACGTGAAAGAAGTTTGTTTTGAAATCTTTGCAATTTATTAAAAATTAAAAACTAAAATAAACACATGTATATAAGTATTCACAGCCTTTGCCATGACACTCAAAATCAAGCTCTGGTGCATCCTGTTCCCACTGATCATCCTTGAGATGTTTCCACAACTTGATTGGAGTCCACCGGTAGGAAATTCAATTGATTGGACATGGTTAGGAAAGGCATAAACCTGTCTATATAAGGTCCCACAGTTAACAGTGCATATCAGAGCACAAACCAAGCCATGAAGTCCAAGGAATTGTTGTAGACCTCCAATACAGGATTGTATCAAGACACAGATCTGGGGAAGGGTACAGTAAAATTACTGCAGCATTGAAGGTCCCAATGAGCACAGTGGCCTCCATCATCTGTAAATGGAAGAAGATTGGAACCACCAGGAATCTTTCTAGA